CATCAAAAGTAACAATTGTATTTTCTGCTTTCACTTTTCTCCTTAGTTTTATCAATTCTTTTTGTTTATCCACAGGGAAACATTCGAGGTAAAGAAAAATGCACTTTTATATATGATGAATTAGTGATCTTCATCAAGCATGGGGAAGTGGCAAGTGTATTTCCGATTACCTGTTTTATTTGCCCAGAAACATTATAGCCCCCACTCAGCATAAAATCAACTGTAGCATCTTCCCACCATGGTAAGAAACAGTGCAGGCGGCCAACCTATTGGTTAAAGAGAAGTTGCATCAAACTTCACCTACAACTCACGGGACAATACTAAGAAAGAAAAGAAGCTAAAATATATGCAATACATCAAGTCCATCCAATATTGCATAGCAAACATGTATTCAGCATATTACTTACATTCATCCAATCTATGGTCCTAGATAAAGGAAGACCCTCAAAAACTAGCCGCTTTGCATAGAACCGTATGGGGATGCTCTTCAAGAGAGAGACCTGACCAAGATACATTTTAGTGTTAAGAATTAGAAAACTTAATTATATATCATTGAGAGCCATAAATTTGCATAAAGAAAATAGACACAAAAACACGCAAAATTTATAGATGTTCGCCTTGATATGAGATTGTGTTCTCGTCCGCCACTAGAGTAAATCACTATGTTGAAAAAAAAAATTGACAAAAAAATATCGCACAAGCAAGATTTATGAAAAGCATGTCAATCCTGATATGGACTCTTCATAACAACAATAATTAGGCTTCACAACTTATCATTTAGATGGCTGAGTTAGTTTGCGCCAACAAACTATAATGAAACACAAGCAGGAAGTGTATAAAAAGACAGTACAATTACATTCATACCATTGCATATGCCATTGTTTTCGGTAATTTTGTCATATATCCCGTGCCTTTTGCATAGACGCTTGCATTAATCAAGACCAAACTATCAACCTACACACCATTCCAAGCAAATTTTAGTGTAATCAAAACCTACTGTCTACTTTAATATGTATATATGACACAATACAATCCAGAACAAAGAATGAAACATTAAGAGATTTTTCAGGGAGAAAAGAGTTCTTACAGCTTCGGGGAAATTGACTGCAAAATCAATTGCAACTGCTGCACCAAGACTTGGTCCAACTAATGTCATTGGTCTTTTGATATGTGATTTCCATAGCTATTATATTATATACAAGATGATAGCAAAATTCACCCTAGATAGACGAAAATTTCGGACCAACAAAGTATTAATACACTTTCGAAGAGAATACCTGATAAAGATGGTTTCTTTTAGATGCTACATTACACGGCGGACGTCTTTCTACAATAAAGAATCGAAACCAGAAATTAGATAGAGTCGTCATGCCCTCTCGGTATTCTCTAATTACGCGTCAGAGTCGATATCAAGCACAATGTCCCTTTCGTTCAAAGATTGTTCAATAATACAAAAATGCAGTTATAAGTGACCGCAGATTAAGGCTTAAAAGTTTACCTAAGTCAGAGAAACCCCATCCAAGAATATCTATAGCCCAAGCCTCTAAACCGGCTTTTTCGAGCAATGGATATGCACTTCTCCATTCCAAACAAGAACTGGACATCAACTTTCACATATAAACGTGCACTCAAGAAAAAAGAAGAATATATCTACAACAAATGTCTAAATAGGAGTAAAATTTGCAATATAAAATTGATTGAACGTGCTACAAACCTGTCAAAACAGTGGAGAAGAACCACAGGATTGGAATCATGATACATGGTCGGTGTCACGCAGCTACTCATTATGCAATTTTCAGGAAATCCAATCTGCAAATGTATGTATTTTATGAAAAATGTATGTATATATTTGATGGCGATGGGGTAGGAGTTGAAAGACCTGCACAGGAACTCTTCGGATTCTCTGAGCCAAGGTCCTTGCTGAAGGGTCTCTGATATTGTGAATTTCCTTGGGAAGAAATGATGGAAACCCACCTCCTCCTCCTCC